TGGTGGGAGGTGTGACAGGTAGGTGGGGAGCCGAGGGGGCAGCCTGGTACGCTGGTGTTGGCCTGCAGCCTGTCCCACAAGGGACAGGGAGGCTGATTCTTTAACAGGCGGGCAAGGGAGGAGGAGGGGGAGGACGGCCCGGAGCAATGGAACCTCAGTAAGAGTTGCTTAATGAGGGGTGCCTGGGTGGCTCAGTCCATGCAGCGTCTGACTGTGGCTCAGGTCATAGTCTCGGAGTCCTGGGATTGAGCCCCGTACTCAGTGGGGAGTCTGCTTCTCCTTTTCTCCTTGCCCTTCCCCCCACTTATGCTCTCTCTCTCTCAAATAAAAAAAAAATCTTAAAAGATTTTATTTATTTATTTGACAGAGAGAGACACAGTGAGAAGGAACACAAGCAGGAGGAGTGGGAGAGAGAGAAGCAGGCCTTCCACCCAGCAGAAAGCCCGATGTGGGGCTCGATCCCAGGACCCTGGGATCATGACCTGAGCTGAAGGCAGACACTTAATGACTGAGCTACCCAGGTGCCTCCTGCCAAAAAAACTTAAAAAAAAAAAAAGAATTGTTGGAATGTTGGCACCTGGGGGGTTGGGTGCCAGGGATGGTGGGTTCTGTCCAGCATGGATTTCAGCTCCCCTGGGATGAGCTGGTTGACATCCAGAGCTGTCCCTCCATGGAAGTCCCTGCTTTGTAGGGAGGGAGCTTCTCAGAGCAACCCTACTGGTGAGGCTAGAGGGCCTCCTATCTCAGGGAAGAGGCTGGACCGGAATCTTTGGGGGCACTCCCTGTCTGAGAGTCTGTGAGTCTGGCTGGCACAGGACACCTGTCACTTACTCTTGGTACTCAAGAGTGACACTTGCTTTTCTCTTCCGGTTGGGAAGGCCTGGACTCTTTCTGTCCTGAGGGGTCCCTCCTGCTCCTGTCATGGCTTTTCTCCCTTCCGCCTCTCTCCTCGCCACCACTGCCTCGGGTCCCTCCTGTCAATGGGACAGCATCCATTGCCCTGACTACCTCTGAGGGTTCAACAGAGTGGGTTTCGGGGACTACTATGCTGTCCCCTCACGCAGACCCTAACTTCGTCTTTGTCACTCCAGCTCCGGAGTCCATTCATCTTCAGCAGACCGAGAAACTCATCCCTCAATACAAGAAATGTAACGACACAGTGTGGACACAGTTACGATCACGGCGCAACCTAGTGAAGAAAGGGGATGATCTGCGGCTGTCAACAAGGGAAGAGGGTCTGCAGGGTCAGTTCATGGCTCTGTTGTGGCCTCTGCAGTGACGATGGCCCCCCCAAGCTTCCTCATTCCCAGGTGCCAGGGCCTGGGTGACCTGCCACCACCTCATTTCGTTCCTTCGCGAAAGAGATTCATGGGCAGAACCTGGCCCGCCCTCCTCTTCCTGCCTTGAGTGCCTTCTGGAGGAGGGGGCGTTTGAGCCTGAACTCAGAGGATGAGTCTTGGGATTTCTTGGAAAGAGGAGAACAGCACTGTAGGGAGAGGGAGCAGCACAGACGGTGGCTCCAAGGTGTGAGGGAACTTGTCACGTGTAGGGCCCACCTTCCAGGTCTGGAGCAATGAGGGGACCAGAGAAGAGGGCTGGAGTCGGGTTACGTGTGGACTGGGGCATTGGGCCGAGTTTCTCGATGCCATCCGGGCAGGACTGTAGGCTAGGTGTTTGTGTCCATCATCTAGGTGATGACGCGGAGTCCCGAGCAGGACCTGGGGCGGTGAGGGGGTGAAGGAAGTGTGTCTGAGGTTGAATCCTGACTGCTGGGCGGGTGGAGGCAAGGGAGAGGTTTGGAGGGCTCTATGTTTCTGTCTGAGCTGGTTGGTGGGGGGCAGTGGCCCCCGAGCAGGTCTGGGAAAGGACATGCCAGGTTCCGCATCCGATGGGGTGTCTGTGGGATGTCTGGGACAGTGTGGGGTTGGATATGTGGGTTTAAGGTCAGGGGGAATTTCAGGCTGGAGGAGAGGATTATGGGATCCTCCCATGCAGGGTTGATATTCAAAATATTTCACATCTGTGGAGGCCTGGGACTGGCCAATCAGAATAGGTATGAGCCTTAGCGCTGGAGGAGGGCTCTGGAGGCTGTGGACTGTGCTGGGGGTACCTGCTGGGTCATGGGAGGCTTGGAGAGGACTGTGGGGGGCAGGTCAGGGGCAATGGAGGAACAGGGACATTCAAAGAGGATGTTAAGACATTATTAGCGCTACTACTGCCCTGGGGCCCCCGGCTTTGTATCTGTGTGCATCCGTGAGCACCTGGGAAGGAGGAGTATTTCTCAGAGGCTGTTAAAGTTTTCACTTAGTTTTCATCTCTCAAATATTCCTAGGAACCTAGGGCTGGTGGATGCCTGCGGGAGGGGAGTCCCGGGGAAGGCCCTCGCGTGCCCATCTCCCCACCAGCCAGTTCTGATGTTGATTCTCTTCCATTCCTGTGTTTGTTTCTTTCTCTTTCTCCAGGGAGACTCTGGGGGGCCCCTGGTCTGTGAACTTAATAAGACATGGGTCCAGGTGGGGATTGTGAGCTGGGGCATCGGCTGCGGTCGCAAAAATTTTCCCGGAATATATACAGAAGTTAGTTTCTACAAGGACTGGGTCATTGATCGCTTGAGTCAGGCTTGCTCTTGGGACTCAGCAGGCTTCCTCCCACTTCTGTGCCTGGTGCTGCCCCTGGGCATCCTGGTGGCCCCGTGATCACCCCGGCCCACTCCCCTCCTATTTCTGCGTCTCACACCGGGCCTCTCCTCTGACCTCCCACTCCTGCTCAGACGCCCTTTCCTCCAGTTCTGGTTGGCATCCCCTGACCCTGTAGAGAGCCACACAGTAGGAACTGGCAGCAAAGCTGGAGCCCCAAAAGCATCCCAGTCTGATGCCCTAGTCACCTGCCAAGGCCACACACACGACCTTGGCTGTGCCCTGCCCACCTGGAAGGAGGGGGTCAGACATCCCCCAGGCTGAGAGCCGGCTGACCTGCCAGGGGGAGCGCAGGGCTTCCTTGTCATCTTGGAGAGCCTCTTCGAGAGAAGACCCCTCATGAGCGGTGAGACAGCGTGGGACCTGGGTGTGGTCTCAGGCTGTCACCTGATCCTGTGTTGAAGCAGTCATCTTGCTGATTGTGCAGAGAGAGAGAGGGTGGGGGTGTCACCACGTCCCTGCTGAGGTGTGAGGCCTGGCGTTTCCACATGGGACTGGAGTGTTTGGGACTCCAGACACTCAGCTCGGATCCTGCCACATAGACCCTCCTGGGGCAATCCCGCAGTGGGCCCCCCTTCCTCAGTTCCTAGTGGCCCCATCCAGGCTCAGCCCAAGCTATGTGGAGGCATTAAGGAGTGTGGAGATCTTTGATGTCAACTGAATGGTTTGGAGCGTGTTCCTGTTCACTCTAAGTTCTGGTCTCCTGAAAGTTCTGGCATTGCCTATGACATAGTCTGTAGAGAACTAGTTTCCCACGTAGAAAACGATCTGTTCATGGTTGTAATTAAGCCCTGTCTCCACCAGCTCAGATGGGAGTCCTCTGTGGGGTTTTAGCTAGCTGGGTCCTGGTCTCTGTACTCCTGTCTGCCCGGAGCTCTGTGGCTTAATTTCACAGCCTCTGCAGCTCTGAAAAGAGGACCACAAGAGACCAGAAAAGGGAGCAAGAATGAACTTAGGGCACTTCTCTCCTGCTTCTTCCACTTGCTGCTGCTGTCCCCCCTTCCACTTTTTCTTTTCTTTTTTAAAGATTTTTATTTATTTGAGAGAGAGAGAGAGAGTGCACAAGCCAGGGGAGGGGCAAAGGGAGAGGGAGAAGCCGACTCCCCACTAAGCAGGGAGCCAGATGCCAGGACCCTGGGATCATGACCTGAGCCAAAGGCAGACACTTAACGCACTGAGCCACCCAGGCACCCCCCACTTCGTTAACAGACATCTGCACTCCTACTGGGAGAAGGGAAGTGAGATTTATTGTTTTAGACACTGGATATTTACCCTCATTCTCTGGCTCTGTGTTCCAGCGTCTCTCTTTCTGGCTTGGTAAAACACACATCACTGGTCCCCTGCCAGAGTTTTCAGTCCTGTAGGTCTGGGGTGGGCCCTGAGAACTGCATCTCTAACCAGCTCCAAGTTGACAGTTCTGCCGCTCTGGGCACAAGTGCTCGGCCTGAACATGAGCAAAGAAGGCATTCTCCTCCCGACCACCTTGACACAGAAATGTCGCACATCACTTCTACTCACCTGTCTGCGGTGGGGACTCATTATGCGGACTCCCTTAGAGTACCTTAGATACCAGGCTGGGGAATGTGGTCCCCAGAACTGGACACCCCCTCCCTCCCCACTAGACAAAAGAAGTGGGAATCTTCTGCTTCTTGGTGGTCCTCTCCCAATTTTGCCACACCCACAAGATGCAAAGACCCCGTCCTACAAAGTTGCTCTGTGAAGGCCCAAGGCCTGTCATCTGCCCCGCCCCCATCTCTTTCAGGTGCGTCCATCTGCTTGGTGGTCTGTAGAGGAGGAGGAATGCCTTTCCTTTCTCAGGACTCCCCCAAGACTCCATATTCCAGTTTTACATCCAGCTCAGATGCCACTTTCCTAAAGACATCTTCCTAGATTCCCCAGCCTTACTGTTCCTTTCTTGTGCTTTTCAGATTCTCAGATCAACAAAATTTGTGAACCTTTCCAACGCACCAATCCCAGGGGACCAAGGGTGTGGTCAGAGGCTGGGTGACAAAGGTGCCCTCAGAGGTCCAGAGGTTGGGGACACTGTCCCCATCTTAAAGCAACAGGGGGGTGCTTGGCCACCCTGGAGACGATCCTGGATCCTGGGCTCCGATGCCATCTTCACGGAACAGGCACGAGGTGAGGGTGCGGATGCAGAAGATGTGCCCATGGGTGCGGGGAGCGGGGCGGGGGGAGTCCGGGGCGTCATCACGGGCTAGTGGGGCCGTCTTGTGCCCAGAACTCCATCACGTGCTGGAGGTGCCCTTGCGCGCGGCAGGGTCGCCATCACCTGCCGGGGCTCGCGGCACCGTGTCTGTCCCGTTAGGTGGCACCTCCCGGCCTCATGGCCGCCTTGCCGTTCAGCCACAGTGCTGGGCCTGGAGCCTCGGGGCTCTGGGGCCTGAGCCGCTGCGTCCTGCTGCTGCTGCCGCTGCTGACCTCGGGTGAGGCAGCGCCTCCTCCACCGCCCTGTGTCCCTCCGTCGGCCAGTCGGCCACCTTCCCCGTACTCCCCCCACCCTCCCCTCTGCCCCCCATCCCCGCACTTGAGCACAGATCCCTGCACGTGGCTAGCTCTTTGGCCACCTGGGACTCTGTCCCCCAACCCCACCATGCTCCCCTGTCCTCCACTGCCATCCTCCCCCCACCCCTTGTCGCCAGACTTCTGCTCGCCCCCCTCAGACTTCACCAGCAGTGCGGAGGACCCTCGTATCTTCTCCCGATGTGCAGCCACTTCCTCCGGCCTCCACGCTGGCGGGCATCGCGGCTGAGGCCAAAGGCACCCTTCCAGGCCGGCTCAGGCCGCCCGCTGCCCCTTCTCCTACCGCCCCAGGCCACTGCGCATGCGCCGCAGAGCGGCCGGCCCCACGCGGTCTCCCCCCTCTGAAACCCGGATCCCACCTTCCCGCTTCTCCCCAGCACCCTGTTCCCCCTGGAGTCTGGCTCACTGCTGCTTTACTCACCCTGAAGAACGCTCTCCCCCTTGACAGCCTCCAGCCCCCAGGGGCCCCTCTGAACCCCACTGCTCGACACCAGCCTCCCCCATTTCTTTAGCAATCAGAGACTCCCCTCCTGTTCAAGGTCAGCCCGCTCGCCCTGCCCGGGACCGCGGGCTCTCCCCGCGCTGTGCTCCCTCTGCCATCTTCTTGCTCATCTTCATCCTCTTCCTCTTTGCCGTGGTTGCTTCTCCCTCTGGGTTATGAGGCCCCTCGTGGTTGACCCCAGCTCTTCTTCCGTGGCATCATTTCTGGCCATCCTTGGCCTTGTCCTTCATTCTCATGGCATGCATCACGGTGTATCTTTTGCAAGGAATGTGATTGTGTTTTTACTGTCTTCTCATTTTTTAGTCCTGACCCCAAAACCCTGCTTCTCAGGATCTTCCTTGTCCCCCACTTCTTCTGGGCTCCCCTGAAACCTGTGGCTTTGTCCTTGCATTGATTTCACACAGGTGGTTTTGTTGACTCCCATGCTGGACAGCGTGTTATCTGTTTGATACACTCTGTGTCGTCCTCCCCCCACCCCCTCCACCCCCCGTCTTGGCTGGGAATGGAGTGGGAGGTTAGGAAATATTTGGTGAATGAATGAATGAAATAATTCATGATCTCTTGCTCATCTTTGTTCCCCCTTTCTCCTTCAGGTTATAAAGAAAACACATCCATACCAGGTGGGTAGGCTGAGCCGCTGCTTCAGAAAAACCTCAGCTCCTGGGAGGATGTGTTCTGAAGAGGGTCAGAGAGGTAGTGTTTCTGGGTCCGTAGGAAGCAGGAATTTAGTCTGAAGGGCCTGCTTTCTAAGAAGTCTTTTCCCTTAGACGTCAGGGATGGTGGGTTAGGTTGCTCACTGGTTCATGGGCTTCCGTTGTCATAGGTCCTCCCTAATTGGTTATGAATTGTTCGACTGATTAAATTAGTTATTCCTCCTTATGTCCGTGCCCCTCCTCTGCCTCCTTTCAGCCTTTCTTATATGTTCAGTGTGTGTCTCTGCTTATGTGTGTTCTTGTCAAAATACATATTGTGGTTTTGTGTGCACGTATTTTTAACTTACATAAATGATGTCTACCGTAGATCTCTTTCTGTTTCCTTCTCTTTTCACCAGTTCCATTAAAATTTTTTTCTATTTGGAAATAATTTTAAACTTACCAAACACTGCAAAAATACAGATAGGTCAAGAAACACATACATAAATTTTCCCAGAGTCAATTGAGGGTAACTTACAGCCTGACTTCTGATCTCTAAATACCTAGGCATGTTTTTTTCTAAGACTATTCCCTTAGATAACCACAATATCAACTGATTAACTTCACTTATCACATATCAGCCACTTCTCAAATTCAAAAATATACATTGAGGGGTGCCTGGGTGGCTCAGTGGGTTAAACCTCTGCCTTCGGCTCAGGGTCCTGGGATCGAGCCCCACAGAGGGCAGGGAGCCTGCTTCTCCTCTCTCTCTGCCTGCCTCTGTGCCTACTTGTGATCTCTGTCTGTCAAATCAATAAATAAAATCTTAAAAAAAAAAACAAGACCTTGGTTTTGATGTAATAAAATTAATCCATTTAATGTTTTATGGTTTGTTTTGAAATTTTGTTTAGGGAGCCCTTTCTCGCCCCGTGCCATATGGTCTATGGTTAGCTTAAGACTTTCACTTTCCTATTTAGGTCTCCAAGTGCTGCTAGGGAGGAATCTGGTTTTGTTTTTCTTAATTCTTTTGTTGTGAGTCAGTTTCCCCAGCACCATCTACTCAACATCCATCCTTCACCCACTGATGGTGGTGACTCCTTTATCTACATTAAGGTCCTGGGTCCCCAGGACAGTCTCAGGCTCTCTGTTCTTTTCCATGGCTTCATTGGTTTGTCCTTGTCAATACCACACCGTTTTTGTTGTGACGGCTTTGATGTGTGTCTTGATAACCTGCTAGGACAAGCGTTCCTTTATGTTCTCCTTTTTTGGAGACTGAGCTATTCGTGGACTTTTGTTTTTCTACTTGAATTCTAGAGTAAGTTTATAAAGCTCCCTAAAATTCTCACTTGGAAAATGACTTTATAGTTTAGTTTTGGGAAAAAGTACATCTGAAATGGTTAGTTGTTTATTTAAAAGCAAGGGATGTCTCTCCATTTATGCTGTTCCTTTTCCGTGTCCTTTATTAAGTTTTATTTATTTTTTTTTCTTTATTAAGAGTTTTAAATGTATCACCACGATAAACTGGCCTAATGTTAATTTCTTGTTACTTAAGATATTTTTGTTGTTGAAAATATATCTTATTTTGAATATATTTTCTCGTTGATTGTGCTGGAGTCAAGAAGCATAACTGATTTAAAAAGTAAGCCATTGGGGTGGGTGCCTGGGAGGCTCAGTGGGTTAAAGCGTCTGCTTTGGGCTCAGGTCATGATCCCAGGGTCCTGGGATTGAGCCCCACATCGGGCTCTGTGCTCAGTGGGGAGCCTGCTTCCTCTTCTCTCTCTGCCTGCCTCTCTGCAAACTTGTGATCTCTGTTTGTCAAATAAATCTTAAAAAAAAAAAAAAGGTAAGCTGTTGAAGTCTTACATACATGCACAACAGTACACAGATTTGAAGTGTCCAGCCTAAGAAATGATCACACAGTGAACCCACCTGTGTTAGTTACTCTCTTGGTGAGAAAGTAGAACTCTCCCAGCCCCCGATAGCTCCCTTATGCTCTCTTGCTTACTTCCCCAGCCCTCCTCCTGCAAAGTACCATTATTCTTGGCTTCTGACCATATAGAATCTTTTTGCCTCTTCTTTAATGTTATGTGGTGCTTGCTGTAGGTTTGTGGTCTCTAACTTTCATAAAGTTAAGGATTTCTTTTCTGTTCCCAAAGTAAGAGGTATTTTTGTTTCTGATTTGTTTTTAGTCGTAAATATATGTTGAAGTTTTCAAATGTCTTCTGTGTTTTTTGAGAAGAGCACATGGTCCTTCTCTTTAGAGAAAAAGAACTGTTTATGTGGCAAATACAGGGAGGGCTTTTCTAGTGCGGGACCTCCCTTGTGCTCCTGAGACAATCTCTACGCAATCGTGGTGCGTTATTTTTTCAAAATATAATGTTGAGTAATGCTCTATTTAGAAACTTTAGCATCTGTGCTCATTCATACCGCCGTACCACTTGCCTGTGTTGGAATGTGGTGCAGACAAAACTGTAAGCTGTGAGCGGGGTCCCTCCGTGGGCTCCACGCTGGTGGGGCTCTTTCTTGAACAGCCTGTGTAAAGGTTTCTGACACAGAAGCCTGGAACTTTTCTCAGCTCCGAGCAGTGGCCCTTCAGGAACATGGCCTTGGGATTCAGGCTAGACACAAGAGAATGCAGGGCTTGTGCCAGGACTCCTTCTATGCTTTTCCCTTGTTTTGGGGTTCCCTTTGAATCCCCTGTTGTCTCGGTATCTCTCTCTCTCTCGCCTGTGATGTCTTTATGTCTCTGTCTTACAGCCTTGTATCTCTGTCACTGTCATTTCTGTCTCACACAGTGCCTCTGTCCTTCTCTCACCCTGCCTCCCCATCTTTGAAATGAGGACAAGCCCCCGAGTTTACAGCTTTGTGCACATTGTCCCGGGGTGGGGGGGGCATCTTAGTCTCCGTTGTTCTCATCCTCCAATATGTGGTCCCTGTGTCTCCCTGGCACATCGTTCCTGAAGTTTGCGGCAGACCCTGGTGGTCCAAGGATTTGGACATGACCCGCCACTGGCCCTGGGAGGTGAGCCTCCGGCTAGAGAGTGAACACGTATGTGGAGGGGCCCTCATTGAACTCAACTGGGTGGTCACTGCTGCCCACTGCATCCAAGGGTGAGTGTGGCCCCTGTGTCCACGGCCTGGAGCAAATCAGGGGGGGCTTCTGCTAAGGGAGGGGGTTCTTGGTGGAGGTAGGAGCGTCGCGTTGTTTGCGAACCTGACTGGCTAGCCAGGGCAGTATGTCTTCTGTAGCACCAAAGAGTACTCAGTGATCCTTGGCACCTCCAAGCTGAAGCCCATGCAGGCTTCCTTGATCCCCGTGAAGGACATCATCCTGCACCCCAAGTTCTGGGGCCGGACCTTCATCATGGGGGATATGGCCCTTCTCCAGCTTCACAGCCCCGCCACTTTCAGCAAGTACGTGCAGCCCATCTGCCTCCCGGAGCCCAGCTACAACCTGAAGGTGGGGACCCAGTGCTGGGTGACTGGCTGGGGCCAGGTCAAACAGCGCTTCTCAGGTGAGCACAGTGGGTCAGGGTGGGGGTGCGGAACCACAGAGGGGGACACCGCCTTCCTGCTGGGGTCTTGCCTGCCGGACCCCTTCACGGTGCCTCTCAGGAAGCATGCGGCTGTCACCTCCGGGCCCTGGCTCTTTGGACGTGTTAGGACTCTCCTTGTCCTAACACGTCTCCAGGTCTCCACATCCAAGGCCACCGTGCTTGCCGTGGGCACCTCACTCCGGTCTAGCGGCGCTGGGGCTGGGCATGATCTTTTGGCCTCTTACAGCAGCTCAGAGTCCGGGAATCCTACACTTACTCGTCCTCTCACTCATTCATTTGACGGGTGGCTCACCAAACCCTTCGCGTGGGGAACACGTGCCTTACCTGCAGGGTGCTCGTCACTGAGTGTGGGCGGGGGCCCAGGCCGGTGGGGAAAGGGGGCTAAGACTTGGTCAGGTGATCTTAAGATCAAGCTGGGAGGAATCTGGGATGAGTCTGGCCAGGGGCACATCTATCTGAGATGCCTGAATGGGGAGCGAGGGTAACCAGGTGACAGAGGTCACAACCTGTGCCAGACTCAGAGGTTGGAGAGAGAAGCCAGACGTGGCTGGGGTCTCAGTTCGTCAGTGGTTGCACTGAAACTTGGATTGTGGCCTGCTTGGTGTGGAAGCCAAAGCTTCCCAGAGAAAGGGATCCTGAAAGAGAGCCTGAGAGGGTGAGGGGCTTGCCAGACGTGGTCCCCCCAGCCCCCTGCAGGGAGACAGACTGGTGAAGGAGAGCATGAGGGCATGAAGGGGTGTGGCTTGGCTGAGTCTCAAAAATGGAGGCGTCAGGACCCTGGGAGGAGGCCAGGGCTGAGTGGAGTGAGGAGAACTTTCTCACCCCGCTGGGCTCCCCCACAGCTAACTCTACACTGACCACGGAGCTGCAGGAGGCTGAGGTGTTCATCATGGACAACAAGAAGTGTGACCAGATTTATCGCAAGAAGTCCTTCCTCCCCCACCTTGTCCCCCTTGTCCTGGGGGACATGATCTGTGCCACCAATTACGGAGAGAACTTGTGCTCTGTGAGTGGCTGGGAGGCAGCTCTTCTATCCAGAGCGACTCCCGGGGTGGGGGTGGGGGTGGGGGACGTTCCCAGGGAGGGCTTTGCTTTGCGACCATCACCAGGCAGCGCTCTGCTCCCCAATTCCTTCCCCTGTGACTTTGATTTTGCCTGGTATTCTGGGATGGGTCTGAGGAGCCGAAGGGGGAGCTGAAGGAGGTAGTGAGATCCTCAGGGAGCGAAAGAATCTTCCAAGAGGAGTCAGAGGGGTGGGCATTCTCGGTCCTCCAGGGTCCTGGCTCCCAGAGCTTCCATTATTCCTCTCTCTTTACCTAGGGGGATTCTGGTGGCCCACTGGCTTGCGAAGTCGAGGGCCGATGGATTCTGGCTGGGGTGTTGTCCTGGGAAAAGGCCTGTGCCAAAGCGGAGAACCCAGGCGTGTACACCCGCGTCACCAAATACAGCAAATGGATCAGGAAGCAAATAGGCAGTGAGGCTCTCTCAGGCCCCCCAGCCTCCGCCTGGCTCCTACTCCTGCTCTGGCTGCTGCAGCCCCAGATGGGTCCTTAGTCTCCTCTCTCCCTTCTTCTTCCCGTATTGCCTCTGCCCTATGGGTCCGGATCAAGGTTAGACCAAGGTCATGTGTCTCTATTCAACAAGAGTCAAGGTGGGGAAAGAGGGGCCCCTGGGGATGGGGCTCTGCATCGGCATCCCAGTGGGGAGAGACACAGAGGATGACTATGCCCTGTGTGACTCCAGGAGAAGGAAAGTGTGGCCTCGAAGGGCTCTGGAATGGGGGACCAGGAGAGCAGGGATTAAATTTGTGCAAGTGTGAGCTGGCTCTGTTCTCTTTTGTGGGTGACCCTGGGATCTTATATGTATTGTTAGTAGTCTACATTTAAAAAAAAAATCACACACGTTGACAAACTTTCTCCGTCAATACCTAAAGCTAGTCATCATGTGATGTCATTGTGTATGTTCTGGGCAGCTGTGACATGGGTTTTGTAACCAGCACCAGGTTTTGGGCTGCTTCGGACTTGCCCCCCTGGCGGCAGTCCTGCATGTGGGTGGTGGGGTGGGGAGAGGACACTCTGAACCATTTCTGCAGCTGTCTCCTTAGGAGTGGGCTGAGGGCAGGACAGTCATCGAAGGACACACAAATTTTAGTACTTTTGGATGACTACACTCAAAGAGTCTTCCTTCCCAAAGCTGAGCCAGTTTACAGTCATACCTACAGCATGGGAGAGTGAAACATTTCCCCTTTTGCTAAAGATGGATATTATCAGTCTTTAAAAATATGTCCATCCAATGCTAGAACGTTCTATCATTGCTGTATTCATCTGTATTTTCCTGATTGGAAATGTGTCTTTTCATGTGTTTATTGATGAAAAGATATACCTTTTCTCGAGTGAATCCTCTATTCATAGGCTTTGCCTGTTTTTAAGATTGGGTTGCTTTTCTTCTTCTTAACGAAAGTTTTTATCTTTTCTGAGTACTAAGCCTTTGTCAATTATTTTACAACTATTTCCTTATCTTTTAGAAATATGTGGAATGGATGGAATGATGGAATTTTCCATAAAGACCTTTAAAATTATCATGGAGTCAAGGGGCACCAGGGTGGCTCAGTTGGTTAAGTGTCTGCCTTTGGCTCAGGTCATGATCCCGGGGTCCTGGGATTGAGCCCCGCATGGGGCTTCCTCCTGAGGGGGGAACCTGCTTCTCCCTCTCCCTCTGCACCTTCCCCTGCTTGTGCATGGCACACTTTCTCAAATAAATAAAATTTAAAAATAAAATAAAATTATTATGGAATCAAATCAGTCAATCTTTACTTTCCTTATGGGTTTTGTGCCTAGTAAAATGTGCTCTTCTCCATATCCAGGTTATAAAAGCTGTCTTCCCATATTTCTTTTCATCTCGATAAATTTATTTTTTATGTGTAACTCTGTGTGGTGTGAGGTGGGGATCCAACTGTTATTTCCAACTGGAGAGCCAATTCCACTGATACTATTTCTTGTAGCACCTGTCTTTTTCCTGCTGATTTGAATATCTGCATTTATATTAAGGAAATCTTAATATATCCATGTGTATGTTTTTGAAACCTCTGTTGTTTTCCCACTGATCTGTTTGTCCCTGGGTTAGTGCTGTATTGTTTCAAGTAGCTTTATGTCATATTTTGTTAAGTGGTAGCGAAAGCTCTCCTTTAAAAAAAATATTGCCTAATTTACAGAGTTTATCTTCCATGGAAACTTTACAGTCAGTGTGTCAATTTTCATTAAAGATACTATTGGTATTTTAATTGAAATTAGATATGAAGATTAATTTTTACAGTGTTGAATTCCTAACAGAGGTATGGTATATGTTTCCATTCATTCGGCCCTTCTATTCATGGATGTCTGGAAAAATACTGAGTGTATTTCTAAGCATTTTACAAATTTTGATTATATTCATTGTGGATGATTATCTCCTCCCATTATATTTTTTTCTAATTTTATATGTTAGGTATTTTAAAGCTGCTGATTTAAAAAAACAGTGATCATGGGGCACCTGGGTGGCTCAGTGGGTTAAGCCTCTGCCTTTGGCTCAGGTCATCATCTCAGGGTCCTGGGATCGAGCCCCGAGTCAGGCTCTCTGCTTGGCAGGGAGCTTGCTTCCCCCTCTCTCTCTGTCTGCCTTTCTGCCTACTTGTGATCTCTCTCTCTGCCAAATAAAGAAAAAAATCTTAAAAAAAAAAAAACACCAAAACAACAAAAAAAACCCCATAGTGATCTTGATTCCTGGTCATCTTGCAAAACTGACTTATTTAACTCATCAGTTTCTCAGTGGATTCTTTTGGCTTATTTTTGGCTCGTTAAATTCCCTAAAATGGTGAGAGTTACATCTTGTCCTTTTTGAAAATCCTACCATTTATTTTTGTTTTCTCATTGCCTGTGACCCCTAACACAAGTGTGAAATAGTGGCCATAATGGTGGGGGTTTATGTGCTGACCCTGACCTCATCCTTCATGTGCTTCTCAGACACTCACTGGGAACCTTTGCTGTGTGAGGCAGATTTGGGCCCTGGTGATGCAGTAATGAACAATTAAGATGATTATATGGTTTTTCTTATTTAATTTGTTCACATAATGAAATTCATTGCTAGATCTCAGTGGATTTCTTAGATAAATCCCTTAATACATTGTGGATTCCATTTGCTGGCATTTTGTTTAGAATTTCTGCCCCAAACATGGTGGGCCTCCACTTTTCCTCTCTGTTCCACCATTGTTCAAGTTTGGTGTCATTGCTGTGCTAGCCTCTTAAAACAGGTTGAGAAGCGTTGTAGTATTTTTCCTATGCCCTAGAGCAGTTTATATAAGGCCAACATTATCAGTTCCTGAGATTTTGTAGATTGTGCACATGAAACTCACTGGGCCCTGGAGGGGAGGGGGATGGGAGGGAGGGGATGGCTGGGTTATGGGCATTGGGGAGGGTGTGTGCTATGGTGGTGCTGTGAATTGTGTAAGACTGATGAATCACAGACCTGTACCTCTGAAACAAATAATACATTATATGTTAATAAAATTTAAAAAAATATTGGGAAAACTCACTGGGCCTGATAGTTTTTTGTAAGGGATAAATCTTTGATTATTTTTTAAAAAATATTGTATAGTTAATGGCCTAGTGGGTTCCTCACTGTTTTTGCATTAATTTGGTATAGAAAATCACTTACGTTAGCTTACATTCTTACATTTCAACCTGATGTATAAAATTTGAACCCACAGCCTTTTCCCATTTCTAATATTATTTATATACGTACTCATTCCCCTTTATTAATTATTAAAGACTAGAATTGCCAAATTTTTGTCTATTTCATAGGTGTTTCAAAAAAAAAAACAACCCATCTGGTAAGGGCGCCTGGGTGGCTCAGTCGGTTAAGTGTCTGACTTGTGATTTCAGCTCAGGTCATGATCTCAGGGTGGTGGGATCAAGCCCAGTGTTGGGTCTGCACTCAGTGGGGAGTCTGCTTGAGGTTCTTTCTCCCCCTGCCACTCTCTCTCTCTCAAAAAAATAAATAAATGAATCTTAAAAAAAAGAAATCCATCTGGTATACCTTATTGGTTAGCTTTATGGTTTCCATCCTTCCCACATATTACCCCGGGTCATGGTCTGCAGCCCTCCCACTCTGCCATGCTGTTCATGTTCTTCAGGGTGAAGCTGTCACCCTCCCAGCTCCCAGGAGTCTGATCAAATTAGCCTAGTCCAGTGCCCTGGCCAGCTGGCTCCAGTTGGGTTACCAGCCAGCAGAAGGTATGGTTAGAGGAAAGACATGCACACTTCTTCTCTGAATGTGGGTGAGAAAGCAGAAGGATGTGGGCTGTCAGCAACCATTTTTTAAACATTTTTGTATAAATTCCACTTAGTGCTCATACAGTGTGAGATTAGTTTCAGGTGTACAATACAGTGATGCAACACTTTCGTACATCACCCCGTGCAGTTGGCATCCATTTCTCAACAAGGGGACCAACTCAGGAGGAAGCCGCCACCACGGAAGGGAGGGGAAAAATTTTAAGCCTATATGAGTAGAAGGTTCTCTTCTTTGGGGACGCCTAAATGGTACAAACTAACCTTTGGTTTTGTAATAAAATCTTTTTTGTTCATTTCACTAAAACTCTTTTAGTTTTAGTAATTCTAACCTACTTTGGGGGGCACTTATTTTACTGTCCTTTTTCTAACTTCTTGAGTTGTATACTGAATCAGTTATTACAGACTTCTTTGGTTTCCAATATTTTCACTTAATTCTATGAAATTTTCTCTGGGTCTTCCTTTGTCCATATGGCACACGGGTTGATATGTACTGACCTCATTATCATTCATTTATGTATTGTTTCTAATTTCATGTGTATTTCTTATTTAACCCAAGAGTTCCATAGATGGGTGTTATTTGGGGAGGATGGGGACTTCTTTTTTCCCCCATTAAAAATTATATCACAGTGTGAATTTAATTATTTTTATGTTTTTCAATTTATTGATGTTTTATTTAGGCCTAGTATCTGCTCAGTTTTAGTGAATGTTTCATGTGTGTTTGAAATGAAAACATTGTGTGTTTTGAAGCAGAGTTCTAGCCATAACTGATTGAACCAGGTTTGTTGACTGTATTATTCAAATCCGTTCAACACTTCAAATATTTTATGTCTATATAACCCATTGATTTCTGAGAGGCTTACCATGAGAATTAAGACTTCTTGTAGTTCTAGCAATTCTTACTTTATGTATCAAAGCTACTTTGGTAAGATGCAAAGTACATGCATACTACACAATTTTGGTGGGTTATACCCTAGCGGTATAAAATTTGTCTTTGTCCCAATTGATATTATTTGTTTTTTCAAAGATCCAGATCATAGAGTTCATTCATAATTCTGCTGTCCTAATTGATTAGGGTATAATTTTATATTTTGTACATGTTTCCAAAAGATTTTCCTTGGTTTTATTTTTTAATATTTTTATTTTAAAAAATATTTATTTGAGAGAGAGAGAAGGTGAACAGGAACAGGGGGAGAGGCAGAGAGGGAGAGGGAGAAGCAGGCTCCCCTCTGAGCCAGGAGCCCGATGATGGGGCTCGATCCCAGGACTCCAAGATCATGACCCGAGCCCAAGGCAGAGGCTTAACTGGACTGAGCTGCCCAGGTGCCCAACTTGGCTTTATTTTATATCTTTTACAGTTTCCTGATTTGAGCTTTTAATTCATTTGCTTTCTTTGTTATTCAATAACGAATATCCCTAAGGTTGTAGATTTGCTTTGAACACACCCAGTAAATTTTTAATGCATTGCTCTAATTATTAATATTTTCTGAAGAGTTTATAGAATGTTATTTCATCAAAGTAAGTTA